TGCTCTGTGGTTTTTGTTTCAACTGGTGATGCGATGTTACTAATTGCCGTTTAGGTTAATTAGATAACATGCGTTCACTGGCCAAAATCTTGCTACAGACAACACATTGCGACTTTTCTTTGCCATTTTATTGAACGGAATCGATATGAAAAAAAATTCAAATTCTAAAAAATTAATGAGTTGTTGGATTTCCCTGGATAAAGATTATCTTTTCTTGGTTAAAATGGCAATGCGCACTCGCATCCCTTTTGCAACTTCGTATTTATGCGAAGCAAGCTTTTTTACCATGGCCGTAATGAAGCAAAAAATCTTTCCCGAGTAAATGTTGAAAGGAAAATGTGTGCGGCTCTTACAGTTCACCCGAAGGTTCAATGACAATTGTAAAAAGTAGCAAGTACACACATCACATTGAATGCAATTTTACTGACTTTTGTCAGATTTTGTTTGTTCGTTTAAATAAAATACATTGAAAAAAAAGGTTTTTCATGGGGAGTCACAACTTGAGCATATTTTTTTGATGGCGCCACAATACAAAAAAGTTTGAAAACCATTGCCAGACACGTTGTTCCTATTTTACTTTCATGCCCTGCTCTACTTTCGAATTAAAGATGGAGCAATCTGTAATATGGTAACATTGAACTAGAAACAATAAAGACACTGTTGGAATATACTGAATAAGATTTTAAATTTATGTATTTAGAAGCCTATAATCTACCACTTTTATCAGGTCTGTCTATATTTCGCCAAAGAACCGGTATAATTCTGATCTAAGAGATGTTACACCGTGGTTTTCATACGATGCCACGTGTTACCAAATTTTCTGAGGTTTTTCCTGCGATGTTCATCGTCAACGTCCACTTGCAGTCGATATATATATAAATACATTGTTCTCATTGAGGTAAATAAAATGATATGCAGTACTGATTTTTGAAGTTGCGCACTGTTTATAGTTGTGGGGTCGCGAGTATCCGTGGGCTTTGATTTTATGAAAATTGGGGTCGCAAAAAAAAAGTTTGGGAACCGCTGCTCTACACTACAGTATACCCGGTTGTATATGCTATTCCAGTTCTCTAAATTTTATAATACAAAAATAAAAATTTGATTCGAAAATAAGCATGAAGATATTTAACAAACAGGAAAGCATTTCTGATGTAAATTGTATGTAGAATATTTGAAAATAGTTAAATGAATTTGGTGTAGTTTACTACTATAAATATACTTATTTATTTACAATCTAAAAATAAATTTGGATATTTAAAATCCCTATTTGAGATAAGATCCATTTTCATTTCCCACTGAATGAAACAGCACTCGCACTTGTCAAAATCAGTGAAGCATGTAGCGTAGAATTTTCTTAGGGCTGCTGCCATTGGGCCTGCCGCCCTCGAGGCGGCAGAAGCATTGCTTAAGATCTGGCTCTTCCAATTTCTATAGCGCATGCATTCCCGACAGTTGTGAGATTTCATTTGTCGTTACAACATAAAATGCTTACACGACATTTATTCGGAAAAGCTATTTATCTTGATATTTCTTTTTGCGAATGTAGATTAGCTGTGATGATGACTTAGTTGTTAAACTCCACCAAATAATCACAAATTGTAATCGTATACCCAGTTTTCTAAATCCTGGGTAAGATGGTGGACATAGGGTTTGGACCCCAAAATTTTAACCGACGATTTTAACCTAGTCAGATCCAACGCTCTAATCACCAGGATAGGTCATGCGCCGAAATATACACATATTTATTATATTTGTTTTTCTTATTTATTTTAATTTAGTCTGGAGCTCTATCCGAATTTTGGAAGTGTTCGGATCTCGGAAACAGTAGAGTGTTGTACTCACTTGTGAAATTTCTGCAATCGCAATTCGCAAGAATAATCCCTTTTTCCTTTATTCTAACAAAAGCGATGTTTTTTTTTAGATTTTGGTAACTGGTAGAATCTCTCGTGATAGCTGGCCCTATTAAGTGTATTAAGCATGTGGTTTTTGTACAAATTTTTATATTATTATATCTTAATAAAATTCAGACTTGATTATAAATTTCGAAAAGCAATTATAACTCTTTAGAGAAACTTCGCGTATCAGTGTATTCCGCGAGAGGGCGCATGAATTCCTAGAATAAAATGATCAAAGCTTATAATGAATGCAGGACTTGCAAATGTCAATGTAGACCATACATTTCTTTATTTCTAACTGCTGTTAATTTTTTTTGCCATATATTCATTTAGAAACGTTATATGAATTGTAACATTTCAAGCGAAAATTGGAGAAGTAATCTTAACTCCAACCAATTGAATATAGCCGTGGGATTAAATTCTGCATTGTCGTCGCTGATTTATCGTTATACAAATAGATAAAAAAAACATAAGTCTGTTCTCATAAAGAGTGGAGAAAATAGTGACCGAAATTTTTTTTTTCATAGAATTGATAACGCATATAATATATGATAAGGCGATGACGTCAGGCAATATTACATAATGGCACCTGTTTTTGACGTTAATTTCAGTTGCTAATGTTATTGGACAGTGCTATTGTAAATATCAGATTATTTGTCACTAATTACGATTGAAGAATTCCATAAACCATTTGGTTACTACACTCTGTGTCGGGTTTATCGAGCCTAATTAGCTATTCGAAAAATCCAGGTATTGGTTGTCTTCTGCCAGGAAATAAATGTAAAACTTTGGCTGTCGTTTTCAATACAAATTACAACTTGCGTACTTTCAAGACGAACGGAAGCGTGTTAGGGAGCACGAACACACATAGCTAAATATGCTAATAGTCGATTGCCATTTGGCATACATTACGACGTTCTTTTTGTCAATATGTCAAGTGCATAACCCGACACATAATTTATAGCATTGCCGATGACACGGCGATGTCGATTTACAAATTCCATACAATTTTTCCAGCTGTTTTGCAGCGAAGCTACCTTTTCCCATTCCCATAGTCAAAATTAGATGATATATAACTGATGAGATCGGGATTTCCTCGGTAAGACCCTACAAATTTTTAGACTTGACAATTTTGCTTATGAGCGATATCCATACGGCGTTGCTCTGCGATTCTTTTCAAATTTCAATAAAAAACTAACACGATACACGGAAGTGGCAAATCTGCAAAACAGTGCACACTGTGCATTATATTTCACTCGAACCAATCAATAACAATAGCACGTCTGCACCATTTTCACGCGCCTGAACAATTAGCAACGTACGTATGATCATGGAAATATCCAAAAATAAACATCCGTGACATTTTGACCTGCTTTTATTCAGCATACTGCGGTGTGCCGGCTTCCCGCTGTTGGTATTAGCATAATTCATACAACCTAATGATAATAGTAATTTATAGCCTGAGATTGTTTGGCCATTTATGTTCCGGTAATGATGGGACATTCAGATATGTGCAACATTCAGCATTGATCGCTGAAGCTTCAGATTGAAATATCTCCCAGTTTTCTATTCATCGTAATCTTTAATAACGTTGAAAATTGAACACTTTATGCTTTTTTCTAACAGTTTAGTTGATGGTGCTTTGTTTTGTGTGCCGTGTGGTGAAGCAGGAATGACTCGTTATAGTATATGTGCAGTTGTATATTGTATGCGTTGAAATAGTGAGTCACGGCAACATGAGATTATGTCTTAGTTTTATCCAAGAAAATATTATCATAATATATTAAATAAACGGCAGAGCTTTTTGCTTCAGGTTTCAATTGGGTTATCATACGGGACCAAAACCATCTGTTCCCAAGTGTTTGGCGACACAGAAAACAATTTAAAAAACATCGCGCTGATAAGATAACTAAAGATAACACGTTCTCGTTACGTCAGGAAGTGCCCGAAATCAAAATTTGTATACGTCATAGAATTTTCGCATTATCGATTAATGATCAAATATATAATGAGCTGACGAATACAAAGTTAAAGAACAGGACGTAACAACTGAGCGCATTGTACGTGTTTTCAGGGAAATGCAATGTTTTTGAGGAAATAGAAAATGCCATAGAGTATCAATATAACTGTGCGTTTATTAAGAGACTTTTTGAGATTCAGTTGTAGTAAATTTTATTTTTAGTTCAAGAAAATGAGGCATAAATATATCCAACTCGCGCTTTAGCTGATTGGTTGATATGCAACATTGAAATGATCTCGTAGGAATTAAATCACCTCGTAATATGAATTACATATTATTACGCAGCAATTACCTCGTAATAGGTAATGAATGATACATACCAAGAAATGGGATGAAGAAGGGAAAATAGACATATACATTCTTCGGTCCCAAATAGCCACTCATTTGAATGTTTCTAAAAAACATTAGGTTGCTATATTACACCTCGTTGCTACCGCTGAGCATTGAGGCATTGTTGTTGTAATCGTAACCAATCGCCATATGATTTATGGTTGGGCTTTCAATACCATTACCAAACTTATTTTCTGTATTTAATTAACCAGTCCAAACGTAGTTTACTAAACGGACGTAGCAACGCACGGTGCTGTTAGAGTTGTAATATATATAAGGCAGACTATTACCTCATGGCGGTGGTGTGTTAATTTGTTTATGGGAGCTAATATAACTGAATAGAATTAATAAAACTGCATAAATGTTTTAGAAAGCCGTTGCCATTCAATACCTTGAAACCAGAAGCTCTGCACCTTGTTCTGTTTCTTTAGTCTTCTTGAATGTAGGTCGTTTGCATTGTGTTAAAGATAAACTGACCCATTTGTAGGCTAAGTTTAGCTGTTCATTTTTAAAATGAATCCCATATACAGGCCATCGCATTGACAATAGTGATGACAGGCAAGATCTGTATTGATGCAATACAATTGCAACTGCGATACAACGAAATCAGGTGTTATCTGATACTTTCCGCTCCCATTGGCATTATGGGGTACGTTATTCACAATGTAGAAATGATTGACATTCGCAACATTCAATAGTTTCAGTTACATGTTCTAATGTCGAATTGCTGCGAGTCTTTTCGACTGAAATTTACTTGCAATTCCGGAATGTTATTCACTATTTTTCAATTTTTACTTCAGAATTGTAGGATGAATTTACCGTTTCAGACCATAGTCAGTGGTTTTCCAGTCGAAGTCTTGTTATCTTCCTTGGTGTTTGTTTTAACTTTAGTAGTAATCCAAATTCGAGGGCGAATGAAATATCAGCTTCCGCCAGGACCAAAGGGATGGCCGATACTCGGAATATTTTTTGACATTTACGATTACCCAGCTCATCTGGCATATACAGGTATGTTTATCAGTGGTAAGCAGAGTAGGGATGATCAGGTTTACCACTCTCACTCAGCGGTGTTGTAGAAAAAAGTGTTGCAGATGTTGAAATGGTGGTGACATATGGACGATATGACGAGTGGTTGTTCATATCAAAAGTGGCCTTTTCCTAAAGTACTAAATAAATCTATTTCAACCAACAAAGTATTGACTACGTTAAAGTACATTTCGAAATAAAGTAGGCTTATCAATCACAAACCTGACGGTTGGTGACTAAATGAGCACACGATGCCTATCAAATTAGCGATTGACAGGTGCTTAGATGTATAACTTAATCAGATTTACTCGTATATTGGTAGTGACTACTTTGATAATAAGACATATTCCAGCCAAATATGTATACCTAGACTGTATGTAGTCTTGTGATCGGCCAGAATCTAGGATATACACTTGTACTTGCATATACCTGTTATTTTTCAACCAAATGAGATATTTTGTCATATGCAACCGAGGCCCCTGTATAGGCTGCACGCGTACATATAAGCGTTTTCGGTGACGCGCAGTTGATGAAATCAGACCCCTGCTATATCTGTAGAGTAATATTCCAACTTCCAAGATAGATGACGAAACAAAGCGGATATAGCAATTATTTTCTTGTTTGGAATTAATCAATTGCAGTTACATTCTGGACTATTTTAAACTCATGCGTATCCGTGAAATAGTACAGCGAAACATGCTCAAAAATTCGCTTAATTTTTTGAACAAAATTAGATTGAATTTTTTAGATTTATTGATTAGGAGTGAGGAATGATAAACATAGACATTTGGCAACACTACAAAAATGTCGCATTTATAGACTATTTTATAACGCGAAATAGTACAGCCACGGTGCTAAGCACACAATTCGCTATCACGTAGGCTACCACATAACTGTTTTTTTTTGTTATATCAATGTGATTGTCAACGATATATTCAACAACATAGCTGTTCATGACACATAATATCCTGAATATTATAGCCGTATAAATCCTAATTCGTTGGCAACATTGGTGATTTAGTTCTCATCAAATTTAAATAATCGTGTTAAAGCAGGATTACCCTGCATAATTAGGATATAATTATGAGTGCACGAGAAAGAGCGTAAAAGCATGGTATATTGGCTAACTAAGCGATTGTAGATAATACAAACGTGTAAAAGCCTTTGAACCTTGACTCTGCGGCGATGTCTGGTACAGTAACAGCATGTCATTTAGTGGCCATTGGTCACTTTTAATTATTGTAGCTGTCATCCGATAAAAACATGGTATAAAAGTGATTTCTTTGTACGTGAAACATGACCTCGCTACAGTTGGTTTCTATTACTGAATGAAATTTTACAATTTAGAATGGAGCAAAAAGCACGGCAAAATTTTCACTATAAGCGTAATAGGAAGAAAGTGCGTAATACTCAATGACGCAAAGACAATACGAGAGGCAATGCTGAATTGTTCGCCAAAAATAGACGACAAAACAGACTGGAGATATTGTTTTATAGAATTGCTGAAAGGTGAGGTAATTTTGACTTGGCAGTTAGCACTACACAATACCATATCGACAAACCAAGCTCGTTTCTCTGGATATTCGGTGCTGGGAATAAACTAACCTTCTAACATGTAGAATACCATATAGTTTAAACAAGGGGCCGAATTTAAATTTATTTCACTATAAATAGAGATGTTATAAATAAGGCGACAAAACCCATGTTTTTCTTTAATTCCTGCCTGGGATTGCCAAATTCGTCTATTTGTGTTGTCTACAAAAAATGTCTGCAGTACGCAAAAGTCGAATAATTTTATGAGGAATGGACGAGCCAATTTGTAAAAATATTGAAACCCTATAACTGAAATTTGATGCACTTGATCATACCTCACTAATCACTTACTTATAAATCGTTATAAAATCAGAGTTTGGGATATGGAATGATAAGATTTTTTCATACTTCTATCATTATTGATTGAACGTTGATGATTTACATAAATACCATTATATATATTTTCTAGGTCTATCCGTAATGCCATATTCTAAAAAATGGCAGAATACGAGACGTCGAACGGCGGCCATACTCAAAGAACTGGGAATGGGCAAATCATTTCTCGAGCCTGAAATATATGATGAAAGTTAGTTTTTGATCATTTTTGTATTTTATAATTTCTACTCTAACTGTTTCAATCGATTTGTCAATAACAGGTTGATATAATAAACTAGTAGTTTATTATTGGACATTAATTTTGCAGCCCGTGCTTTAGTTGCGAATCTCCTGCATCATTCTGAAAATGGAAAAACAAATATCACGATAAAAGATAGAATACGAAGAACTCCAATTAATCTTATCTGCAGTATGTTATACAACGAAAGGTAATTGTTGATTGCGTATTTTCCTGTAGCCAAAGCATACTGACATGCACTCTCGTGATACGGAATTTTTCGAAGAAAATATTCGTGAAGAACATTCGGAAAGGGAATTTCACTTAGGTGCTAAAATTACGACGTCAATCACGGTCATCTATTTTCATATAATTATTTAAAAATATCTTCAATAACTGTGCAACAATGATCACTGTTAGATATGCCCTAAAAAGGCAATGTAATAATGAAATTGTCCCAAGATTGTCAGTTGCAAAAAAAACTTTAACAGTCAGTCTGGATCGTCCGTTCTATGACACGAAACTGAGCAACAGCGCTGTACTTTAAAACTTGGCTTGCTTATTATGGGTATTTCCAATTTTTGTGGAATAAACGAAAAAAAATTAACTGGTCTAATATTACATGCAGTTTCTATGACAATAATTATTTACCATGCGAATTGCATACGACAAAATATTCTTAGTGATTGATTATTTGTGATGGCATCAAAACGATAGATCTGAAAATAGGTAAAATTGTACATGTAATCTGGACCTGCCAAATTAGAAATTTGTTTAAACAGAATAAACTGAAACATGAATTATAATAAATTTGTTCACGCAATAATACTGATTCTAATTTACTCAGTAAAGGGTGCAAAACTATATTATTGATTACCAAAGGTACGACTACGACGACGACAGTTTGAACTTTATTCTCGAAACTATGGAATATTTGTTGACATTTCTCCGAGCAGCGAGCACGTACGATGCCCTACCAAACATACTCCGACCGCTAATGAGCCACACTCTTCGAGATTTTCACGCACATATCAAACTTCTAAATGATTTCTTACAATCAAAAGTACAATATCACGAGGAAACATATAAAGACGGCGTACAAAGAGATTTTGTTGATGCATGGATAAAGGTAACTTGGTCAACTTTAAAGAAATAAAACATGTGAATTTTTTTTTCATCATGCCATTTCTGACTATTTCGATACTTCGGGAAACAAAAAATAAACAAGATATATATATATGGGGTTCTTTTCTAAAGCTGTTTCAGTAAGCAGCTGCAACAATAACTAAAAACATCTATTCTTTAGTATCGAAGAATGAACCTGAAAAAAAATCAGTCAGAGAATGTTGAAGGTGTTAGCCAAGAAGCAAATGGAACTTCAGCATGTACGTCATTATCAACAAACGAAGATTCGTGCAGTCCGGTCGTCAATGTTTTGCAAGATGTCTTGTTTGCTGGAGCACATTCCACTGGATATGTTTTAAATTGGTTGATAATGCTGCTCACAATGCACAAGGATATACAAGATAAAGTAAGTTTCTAGGCTACCGGAATTTAAAACATTTGCCAGGTATACCGAATGCAAATTTTAAATACAAGTACTATATTAGGACGCTATTTAGGACCCAATTTTACTGGTGAATAAATGAAAAGGTATGTTGATTTGCAAAAACATACCATTTTGTATTACTCTACTTCTCAAGTGGATTGTATCATTTCTAAATGTCGAAATTGGGACAAGAGCCTTTTTTAGTGACGAGTGATTGCTACCTAAAAGTCTTTCTTTGAACCTCTGTAAATACTTTGTTTTCTGATAACTCTTGTTTATGAATGTATGAATGTAAAGATGTAGATCATATTGCCCGTTGTCAACATGTTCGCCTCAGACTGCATTGCAAAAAGCACATGATAATCTGGATGGTGAGATGAAAGCGAAAACAATATTCATAGTGATATGTATTACAGGTATTCAATGCCATTGCTGAAGTGTTGGGAACAGATCGTCGACCGACTGTGGCAGATCGTTCCCAACTTCCAATAGTAGAAGCTGTAATATATGAAACACTCCGTATCAGTACTATTGTTCCACTAGTCGGCCATGCTTGTTACACAGATGTGACTCTTTGTGGATATCATTTGCCGAAGAAGACTGAAGGTATAAATTGTTTTCTCGCTATAACAAGTAATACAGACCGCTCACAAAATCCCCCAATTTCTTTTATTGGAGTCATATTTTTACAATGCAATCCTGACATATGACTCTACTATGTAGTGAGTTATTGATGAAACATGGTTCTTTCTGTGTGTGAACGTTCATCTAACTGTCCGACTGATGGATTCCACGTTTCAAGTAATTTTTATGCCCGGACAATCCATCTCAATAACATCCTTATATACAATTGAATATCTTCCAAGTATTTGAGATTCGATTGTGAAATCATCAAGTATTCGAAAATGTCTGCTCTAGAGTCTATCTAGACCAGCGTTTCCCAAACTCTTTCGGCCACGGAACACTTACACTTTTTATCTCGTCTCAAGAAATTCATTTTACCTTTCTATGTCGTTTACTAGTGCTCGCCTCTAATGTTACCTCTAATGGAGATAAAAGTACTTGCTGCAACTTCGCGAGCTGCAGTTTATTTATCTGCTGAATCGAGTTTAGCGAACATGAGTAATTTTTTCAGCATTTCAAAGTAAAACCTGGCCGAGATGGCGGAAGAAGAATTGACCATTTGCCTTTATTCTTAAGACCTACTTGTTTGCCTGCAGCAAAATCAAAAGGATTGCTGCAAACTTGATAATGAACTTAACAGTCAAAAAGCTAGGCCGACGGTTAACGAATATGCCACTACCCTACCTTAGTTAGTCCGCTTTAGGCCGACGGTGACACGATATTGAACGGTCAGTTGGGCGACAACTTCACGATCCCTAGATCGCCATGGCGACCCATTTAGACGTATTTTTGATTTATTTTCCACGGAACACTCGGAAGACAGTTTGGGAAACGCTGATCTAGATTCTAGACCACTGGTTCTCAACCAGTGGGCCATGGCCCACAACAACACTTCCAGGTGGGCTACAAACTTATTAAAAATTGCTAAAGTTATTGATATATTCAGTTTCATTCGTGCCACTATAGTGAAATTTTGATTGTAGGGATGATGTTTTATTTTGCTACTGAGGGGTAATTTTCATTCTAACTAGTGAAATGAAAAATTCCATCTTTGCGAACATAGTTTATTTTTATTTTTTTGTAGTTTTTCTCTTGCATAAAAAAGGTAATGGGCCACAGAATTTTTGTGCAACGAAAATGGGCCACGAAAGAAAAAAGGTTGAGAACCACTGGTCTAGACCTACTCTCAACCCAGCTATCATTGTGACATAACAAGACTTGACAAGTGCTGTAAACAAGTCCAAACATAATATATAACACAAATTATCATTATTTTTTTCGGAATTAATGAATCGCACCCTGTAACTTGAAAAGTGGTAGAACCGATATTTTGTATGCTTAGCTAAACAAAAACCTTTGTTCAATAAAGATGTTCGAAGCTCTGCCGGCGTATGAGAACTGTTGGGCGTTTCGAATGTAAATACCTGCATTGGTTATTATTTAGAATTTTAGAATATATTATAATTTAGCAGAAGCATCAGCGTAAATGTTCAAGAATATTTCTCATTTTCAGTAACATATAACAATTGGGCAGTGAACTTTGACGAAGAGAATTTCCCGAATGCCAAGTCATTTATTCCACATCGATGGTTGTTGCCAGATGGTACTTTTGATCGTGAATCGACTAACAAATTCTTTCCATTTGGCCTTGGTATGTTATCTGCTCTAACATATTTATTCTGAAAAGTTCTGCGTTTACAATCGAACATCAATCGCTGTATGGTTGATTTCATGCATGAAAATTCTAGTTCATTTGCTACGGTTAACTGCTTGCTTAGTGATTCTCATACCGAACTTGGACTGGCAACCGAACGAGAACTTTTATTTGGTGTGACATAAGACTAAGCAGTCTAATCGTCATTTCTTTTACCGAGATAAAAATGAATCCTGTCATAACTCAAAGATCAACTTACACCCAGCTCCATATTTGTACCAAATAAAATAAAAAAATTTCAAAGCAAAAAATTATTTAAACGAAGATTCTGGACAAATGTGTATATGATTATGCAATAAACCATTGCATGTTAAAATTCCTTACCTCAGTTCTATTATTCAATATTTTAGGAAAACGAGGTTGTGCCGGAGAAACCCTGGCAAAGGCGGAGCTTTTTATAATCACAACCACTTTGTACCAAAGCTGTGAGTTCTTAATGCCAGGTTAGCAAAAAAAACATTTTGAAATTGACGTAATCAAATTTGCCTTAAAGATGTTACTTTTTTTAATTAATTCAATACTGATTGGGTAGATAAAATTCTAATTGACACAGAGCATCTTTACACCACGATTAACTTTTTACCTTATTCAATTTCCCTCAGCTGGTGACTTGAATAACTAAATAAAAATAATTAGGTGAAAACATTATATTGGCTTATCTTGCATACACACGATAGGATTGACTAAATGTTAATCATTGGGTTTTTGTGCCCCAACAACCTATTCATTGTTGTGTTATCTTGTATTACTGAAATTATTTTACTTACAGATGGTGACGTTGGATCAAAACATATGCCAGAAATTAAACATATACAAAGTTTTGTTTTGGAGCCAAAACCCTACATGGTTCGAGTTAAAAGAAGAAGTGAAGTGAATTCAAAAAATGTTGAAATCCCTTCACAACCTTGAATCAAATGCGCATGAACTTAAATATAATGCGCATGAGGGACCGAAACAGATTTTGTACTTCGGTGGTTGATGCCAAAGTTGTTCACCAGCGGACGAAATCAAATCATTTTGATTGATTAAATCAACTGCTTATTTACATCCATAAACCTCAATTATTAATAATCTTACTATACTAATTAATACTGGACGCTAGTGAAGTTTATACGTCAAATTTGCCATCTGCACACTCAAAAAAGTGATTGAACATTTTTTCTTTTTTTGATAGTGTCGAAATGAATTCAATATTTCTGGGCTATTTCTTCCGAATGCAATGTTTATTCTTCTAATCGAATTAACTTTCTAGAGGAAGTTACAAATAGTTTTTTTCTTCAGACTGGGTGTTCAGCTACGCACAGAATTGCATCGTCACTTCTGAGAGTGTGAGATATCGGTATCACGTGTTCTTTTCTGTATTTTGTGGTGAATTTTGCAATCAATTAAATACTTTGCCGCTTCATGGTCTGCTTGATTTTGTAACATCCTCGGAGTATAAAATTGTCTAGTAACAGTGATTCTGGAAATCAATGCTGTAGTGCTATAGCCTACCTTGTTTCTCCAGCACTAATGGATTGCGGGGTGTTGTGTGGGAGGAACTAGGATGCCTGTCCCACCCCCTCCAATGTGATTCCCATTGGAATACAATTCAATGAAAATTACTAAATTCATGAAAAGTTTGGTTTAGTGTCTATTAAGTAGGACTACATGTACAAAGAGATATGCACAACGACAAAATTCATTGACTTTGTTAGCTTTAAAATTTAGAAGTATTGTCTAACTATGACAATTCAGTATCATACTGGACTCTCATAAATAAGATAACTCTGCTCATTCAGCAAATTATCAATGTCTCGCTCATCAATTGTTTCTAATAATTCAAGTAATTCCTGAACTATTTCCCTAATTCACATGTACCATGTAAATCTGATGTACATACTACATAGAGTTTATAAAAATAGCAGGTAAAACCACATTTCTCAGGCCCGATCGGAACGGGTAATGTAGACACCACCCCAGACCTACATGCCAAGTTTCGTCCGAATTCGAAAGCTAAAATTGTGCTCGCGCTCTAGAATTTAATAATATTACCAATCACTTACGTACACCGATTTCTGATTCTGACGGTGGTTACGCACAAACTGACGTTGGCCTTTTTATGATTGTCTTCACATATTTATCCTGATGAAGAAGAAAGTCCATGATACGGCTTAATCATATGGCGAACCACGGCATATACAAATTTGATGGAAATCCCCCACCCCCATTTTCACAAAGCCAAAATAAAAAAAAAATTAATATATATATATATATCATTTTTCTTCAGTTTTGGGGTTTAACCGAATCAGAAAATGATAATTGGAAGCCAGAACAAAAAGTGTGTTACGCTTTGTAATTAATAATTAGGGATAGGACAATATTCCGATCCTGAATCGGATTCAAGTCAAATCCACGAATTCGAAATCAAGTCGATGCCATTTTAAAAAAATACTATATTTACCGCTCCATCAGCGCCTCCCCTATGCATTATGTCCACATCTAGCAATAGGTCAGCATGCAGTAAATTATGTGAGCGATGCTTTATTTGAAAGTATATGTTTTGTTTCCGTTGTAGCTAACGACCACCCTGACTATAGTAATTTATGGTTTAAAATACGTGCACTCTCCCGACGAGCAAATATAACATATCTAGCCTATGCCCTCTAGTATATGTGCTTTAGAGATGTACCGATATATATCAGCAATATCCGTCATTTTCGTCTATACAGTATCGGTAATTGTATCGGCATCGACTAAAATAGACCTATATTTCCGAAATATCCAACTCTTTGATCTCATCCAAAATGTTTTAAAGTATGAGTCAGTATACGAATATTGCGGTCGAAAACAGGTTGGCCACGCCTACTCCTGCCGTACACTAAAGATTATAAGTATAGATCGATATCACTTACATATTGTTGAAATATCGGAGGCTTTTCATTAGTATGGGCGAAAAACTTGTTATCGGTACATCTTCATGTACTTATCCGCATATTCTTGTGCGTATTGATTCTGCACTATTCAACGCTCCAAACCAATAGCTTCAACGGTTAAAAACTAGTGTAACCATCCATCTCCAAACCCACGCTAGATGCCACATTGGTACTTACTAATCGCTTGACATTGTTGACGAATCCCGACTGAAACTACAGCAGAAATATAGAAACGCGTTCCCTCCGGTTTGGGCTGAGAATCTTTGCAACACAGTTGAACCTGCTTAGAGTGCGACACCACGAGCTATAAAGATTGGACCAGTCCTTGACTTATTTTATACCTATGAATAACACCACATTGTCGCATTCCTAGCAATGATTAGAGGGGCTCAGCAGATTGCAAGATAATCCCCATGTGAGCTGTAGGTACTGCTGGTATTCTATTATTAATCAGATACATTATTTCGTAAACGCGTCCGTCCAGTCTAAACGACAAAGTTAACTGCCCAATATTAAGATCTCTCTCCTTACAAGATAAGTGCATCAGAGCAACTCTTTATTATCGAACATCTGACAAGAAATAGACAGGAACAGATTACTTCAGCTTCTTTTTTGGTCTGAGCTGATTTGTATGTCCACATTTCTTCTTGCGACAATTTGTAGCCCTGGGATGAAGCCTGGCATAGCACCTGAGAATAATTCATAAAATTGTTTATGAAGTGATACATTTGTGTGAACAAATTTGATTAGCTTCCACAGCTGAATTGTAATAACTTAAATCTAAAACAGCAGACTCTATATCAGGGATGGCGAACCACTGACACTGCGTTTTATTCGTGACCCGCTAACGCACAAATAAAATGCTAACATATTAGTGATAAAACCGGCCTCAAGTTAATCTAACAATAACTAAACTATTTTTATGTACCGTCAGTTGGGAAATCACGACTGCGATCGCTTATATTCAAATTGTTAATTTTTCGGTATGTTAATTTTCAATACCCATAATCTTGTCGCATGTCTGCACCGTTGCGTGCCGTTATTCAGCTATTGGCTCTGACATCGTTTATGACATAACAATGCAATTGATGTTCATTTCTCACAACGTCTTGTCCCTTTCAGAAGTGCATCTGCCGACAGTTTTAGGGGATATACGAGAACTAGATGCTACTTTGCATTTTATTAGTTTCTCGCCTACAATGCAGTTGAGAATACAAAATCTTTCAGACTTGAAATAAAAATCTAGATTAACAATGGGGCAGTGTAAAATTGCTTTTAATATGGTTAAAGCTGATAGAAAAATATAACACTATAAGAGTGGAATTCCCTCCAAACTCTTTGGAACCTTGAAATAATTTGCCGCATCATCCTAAACGTAATTCATATGCGTACTCTAATTTCATAAATTCGAGTGCCATAAAAAGTCCATGATACAAGTGCTGTATAAGTAAAGCCCTAAACTACACCAACATTAACCGCTAAATTACACCAACATCAACATTAACAACCGCTGTATCATGATTTGTTTCAGAAGTTTTTATAGATACAAACATTGATTAAATATCTGTGACCCACTCTCTTCTGTTCCGCGATAAAAATATAATTTTTGACCCATTCATTGAAAAAGGTTCCATCCCTGCTCCATATCCTTCTATCCAAGGTCTATTTAAAGTCTTTTGCACTTTATGAAACTTTCACCTACTATACACAGCATTAGCTGATTGTTCAACGTTCATGAAGGATGACTGTTTAAATCAGCTCCAACTCCAGAATGACTCGATTTCGAATTTGACATTAGGTAAAAGGAAATTTTCTTTCCAGTTCAGGAAAAGCTTAATTTTGATAATAAAACATTCATCGATTGTCTGATGTGTTGAGAATGCTTTATGAACCGAATGCTTCGATTATCATCATTTTGAGTGTCTGAATTTGACTTTAATGAACTTATAATTTTGACTACTGCAAGTTTAGGGATGCGATTCAGGTTCTGGCACCAATATGAATGGGCATATACCAAACCCTGACCCTAAAGCTTCAATTGTTTAATCATAGTTCAAAGTCTACTTACTTTCTGCAGATCATTTTATCGCAATTGTACTTTTGGGCCAAAATACGTAAACTGGGTTCAATAACACCACCACGAAGTCTCAAAACAAGATGAAGGGTTGATTCTGTTAAATAACACAACTTGTGTTTAATGACCGTTCAAATAAATCGGCATAACTGACTGTCAGAGATACAGCCATATAAAAAATATTCTAAATACATTCTGGAATGGTATTTTAAAATATGGATTTTATCCTGAAATTGGTCATGGATAAATTCAGACAACTTAATGCATACTTCATCCGTTTGGATTTAATGTAAACTACATTTATAAGGAGTAATTTAAATGGAACTGAAAGGATGAACTATCTTATTTATAGTTCTGCAGATAGCATAAGGTACGGTAAGTTAAATAAGGCTAAATTGAAGTTCTGATGTCAATTACACAATCATATTTTGTCAGATTGAAATTTTCATAGTATTTCAGTAAGTAAAGATAGATAACAGTAGATATAAAATATGAATTTGATGTGGTGCATATTATACTCAAAAAAAACAACTGTTGAACTATTGGCAGAGAATCAATATCAGGGGAACGTATATAATTTGTAAAAACAATGGAATTTTATTATGAATTTAATTCCTATAACTTCATGTTTGGTTGGACGTCATAACTAAAAAACTTCTATTTTCTGTGATACTTCGATCTGCAGCAGAAAAAATTGAATCAGTCACTATGAAGATAATAATAAACAAAATAGCAACCTTTCTGAATATTATAATCGCTCAAAGTTCTTCCATCTTCTAATTGTTTTCCAGCAAAAATAAGACGTTGCTGATCAGGTGGAATACCTGTAAATTCATCATATATTCAATTGCACAAATTGATCACCATGTTGAAAAAAGGGAAATTGCAACACTTTCTGTTATGATAAATCATACTAGTATTATGTAACAGAAATCCAGAAAGGGCTCATTTTGTAGCTTTTCGTCAGTTTTCAGTTATGTTTCCAAAATTTATGCACAAAAGGATGAGATGGACCAAGACTAAAAATAGCCATCAGGTGCTTGGGATATTTTAAATCAAATTGATTGTGGATGGATATGAACAAGTAAACCGGTTTGTAAGCATCAACCCTTTGAAACTACATTCAAAATAAAACCAAAGTATTTTTTAATGGTACAGTATATTACGAATTTTTCAAAACAAGGATTCCCTATTGCTCAGGAATGCAGCAAACAGATTTCCAATTTTTAGGACCGGTTTCAAAAAATCACCTACCCTCTTTGTCCTGAATCTTAGATTTCACATTTTCAATAGTATCTGATGCTTCAACCTCAAGGGTTATGGTCTTGCCAGTTAATGTCTTGACAAAAATCTGCATCTTGACAGATCACTGTATGGAAGACAAAATAAAGTAAGAACATAGTATGCCAGTAATATAAACAAATACTACTTAATGTGCAATAGAATGACATGAGGAAAATGATGCAAAAAATTCTTTGGAGAAAACCATGGAGGTTGCACGAGGCAAAAATATAATTCATATAGAATAAGTTTTGAATCTCTTGGAGTTTCGGCTAACTTATACATTTTAGTGCAAGTCACTCATCAGTAATTATAAAAGCATTTCAATCAAATGAATACTGAAAACAGACATAGCAGCATAGTGAAACCTACAGACCTAGGTCAGCTTTAACTAATATTCTACGGCATGCTTCGCTAATTGTGTAATTACGAATTAGGATACGGCAGACCGGTACTGAATTCAGAAGTTATGAGACTCAAACAGCAGCCCGAGTTGTAATAGACTTCATATTCATTCAAGAAACCTGGCTCCCGTTTTGCTACTAGATCAGACAGCGCATAGAATTCTTTAGTCAGTTCCAATGCCACCAGTACCGGGTATCACACTGGATAACTTCAATGGCCGAATGGAAACATAAACGGAAGCACGGGAGGAAAAACAAAATGATTATAATATCCACAGTTATGAAATGGCACTACATAATACACACAGAGCGAGATACAAGCCTCCAATCACAAATAAAACGAAATTTGGCAAACAAGAACGCACCTCCGCTCCCAATGAATCGCTGAAAAGGACTGTCGAGAAGGCCACACGGTTCACGGATATGTGAATCGGTGTCAAAGGTCAATTCCGTGTCTTTCGAAAGATTTCGCGCAAGCAATCGAGTACGGTAGTACTATGGACCTTTCCCCGAGCATCGTTTTCCTTGTTTACTTCGTGACATTGGCCAATCAGCAAGATGCAAAAAGTGACGTAACAATGCCCCCTTTTCGCATCCGCTCAGACACTTTTCTCACTCAGACAGATTTTCAAGTGTGGTTGTAAACATTACCTCGTTTTCGCGTTTTTGAACTCTATTCGTTAGTTTTCAGTTGTGTTTCGGAAACTTAAATATAAATCAGATAATTCAATGATCACTCTGTCTTCCTAGGAGTTTTAATTTGATTGCAGTAATAAAAATTAGTGTAGAAATAGCTGTGATAGACTAGCCTGAAATTCTTTACCGGTACTTTTAAAAAAAAGATTGTTGTATGCGATGAATCATAATGATGTTTTGTAACACATACCCCATTTTACAGGCGCCAACTCGCAAAAGCACTCTCAAAATAGCCCCAAAAATTTTGCAATGGTAAAGTATAGTAAGAATTATCCGGGGGTCAAAGGTCGGGGAAAGGTCCATAGAGCAGGGGTTCTCAAACTTTTGGTGTTGCGGAGCCTTTGAAAATGTTGACTATTATTCACGGAGCCCCAAAATAAATGTTAAAATTTTTACTTTCAGAATAATATTCCTGAGCAAGTTAAATGTACTTCATAAGTCATACAAGTCATAAATAAATCTAAATTTCAAACATAAGTTATATATACTAGAGCTGTAAATTTGACACTTGGCAAAAATACTAATGAATTAGGGGTCAAATCTTTTCCCTTTTGACATTTTTGAAAGACTTAAAAGGCCGCTAATAATGTGCGCGATTGCATTTTGTTACGATCGCCGATTTTTTCCTCAGCATGGCGTATTTTTGAACCTTTAAACATCTTTACGTCGGTGTTTATTCTCCATGAATAAAAAATTTCCCTCGGCATATACATGTATTGTTACACAATGACGAAGTTAATTGCTTTTTTGTTCTCGTGGGGAATTATGAGTTCAATGTGAAAAATATGTAAACATTTTATAATCGTCGGCGACGAAATGCTGAAAATAATAATTAGTAAAGAGGTAAATCGGCAACTCGAAATTCTTGATTGAAAATAGGCATTCTAAAATATTAAAACTTAATATGGGAGATCACACGTTTGGTTTCACCTCAGATTGAAAACGGTTTTATAGACATTGTCAATCACAAAATTTGGTGTTATGTTAGGTTTTCATCGTAGTAACTGCGAAATCGAAACACTGTCAATTGTGCGCGCGATGTACCTTTTTTCCCATTTTGAAACTACGGACGGAGCCGCACACAATCGATTGTACGCGCGATCCGCGATATACCTTTTTTATATTCTGAAACTACCGACGAAGCCGAATGCAATAAAATAAATTTTGATTGTTCGTATTTTGCCCAGACTTTATGTGATTCTTTAAACGGTGATATCTTGCTTAAATATAATCTCAAGTGCGAAAGAACGAATCAAGTTTGACAAAGCCCAAGATCGCAAAAATACGACTCCAAATTTATTTATAGTTGGCAGTTCATCACGTATTCTATGTTATTTTAGAATAGTATTCTTTCATTTTAGTAATCGTAATTGTAATCTCGAATCAAACGTGAGTAACGATGAGCACAATTACATTATAACGACGAGACACGGTAAATGCTCGCGTCGGTCATGGATTGAATATTTTACGCAACAGAAATCTCGTTATCCGTTTTTTTTTAATCGCGAATGTTGCGCGGAAATTTCCGATTCCAATTTTGAACGACTCTTAAGAATCCTGGCTGTGCTCCCGCTTACAAATAATGTCATTTTTTAATTCCGCCTCTTTGTCATATTTCGAGGCTATATTGTTGTCAGATTTTATCGAAGCTGTTATTGCTTCTTTGAACAGTTACACAATTAGCCAAGTCAGTATTTTGAAAAGTAATCGAATAGCTTGCGGAGCCCCTGGTTTTCCCTCGCGGAGCCCTGGGGCTCCGTACGGAGCACTTTGAGAACCTATGCTATAATAGAGGGTCAACATCATTCTCTGTGGTAGTACTAGAGATGAGAGAGAGAGAGAATTTATTTGTTTCGTTCACCAGAAAACATAAACACAACAAAAATAATTACTAAAAAGCAAAGTCGTTCTCAGTACAGATTGGGTGGCAACGACACGACCATGCGGTCATCGAAGTTAGTTACCACAGTATTGGAGTACCACGGTATTGGAGAGTAAATAATAAACAATAATAGACTTGATACTTAGAGATCAAAATTAAAAATCAAATCAGCTCGGATTGATCATAAAATAAGAATTTAACAAAGTACAGATCTTAAATATCTTATAACAAAAACAGAAAAATCTTTTTTTTTAGCTGTAGGAAGACCCGATACTCATTTATACATAGAAATACAGCATTATATTATAGTCATTGAACATCGCTGACTTCCCATTTGAACTCTTTTTAACTTGAATATAAAAACTTTAACATGCTTAATGTCAGTGGGTTCGCGAAGCTAACAAAGAGTTTTGTTGGTCAGTTGGCTTTAATATGCTTGTTTATATATGCTTAACGCTCATAATACCCGCAATGTGATGACATGGCTCGTTTTCATACTCAAACGCGTAATCACCATACACCCCAATGGGTGGAATGAATATTTCCCATTACCCAAGTTCCCATTTACATCTCTAACAATGAGTTTTCAGCAAGTCGTCAACGGGAACGCAACAATATAAATCTCAAGAAGAATATTTTCAGGCACAGAGGAGTCAACATTGGGCTATTTTTACAATACAATTTATTTCAGCATTCTGAAAACACAAAACTCGACGAAACGAACAAAACATATAACAGAAATGTCCGTAAAACGAGCAAAACTTAAGAATAAAGTTTATAACGCGCAAAGCACGTGTTGGTTTACCAGAAACATGTGTTCGTTTACCAAAAATAGGAATTTAGCTGATATATATTAGTTTGATTTGTGTCAAGTTTATTATTTCCAATCAGTAAAAAAAATCAATTTTCCACAAATAAGAGAAAACAATGGTTACACAGATTTACTGAGAAAGTGAGCCGTGGTCAACCAAAACTGGTTATCGAGCAGCGACAATCAAAATTTGAGTTTCCAAAATTTAGGTAAGAATGAAATATCTCAATGGTCATTTTGTTTTCCGGGAAGTTTTAGTTTAGTAACGGTAATCAACAATCAGTCCCAAAAAACGCGATAAATTAGATACCAGTCCTTTTAAATGGCAGGCAATTGAATATTTTGATGCAAAAATGATGGTTAGGAAAATGTAAGCGCCGGCCGGAGAAAACTTTTTCAAAAATAAGATAACTACTTTTGCAACGGAAAACTACAGTAAATTTAGGATAGGATAGGATTTACATATTTATCCCGGGGGAGAGGAAAGCCGATAAGACGGCTTATCCATATGGCGAACCACGGCCTCTCGTCCGGTTACCATTCCAAGTCGGGTATGGGATTAGTTTTACTGTATTGTTTGTTTTCGAAAGCATGGACTTGGTCCGGTTACCATTCCAAGTCGGGTATGGGATTAGTTTTACTGTATTGTTTGTTTTCGAAAGCATGGACTTGGTGGTGGAGGAAGCCGTAACCGACGACGGCGAGGAGTCCAGCAATCCTCTCGCACATAACCACCATGGGATTCGAACCTGCGAACCCACGCAGAGTAATTAGAGGTGCGGTGGCGAGCGTATTCCTAACGCTTAGCCCGTTGAGCCACACCGCCGCGCCGGTTTCTGTTGTAGCATCTTCTAACCATGTTGTGTTATGTATCTTTGCGAGCTTGCTTGTAGAGCATAGTGTCCGAGTTTCAACTGATATAGCCTACCACTAAACGGAAAACGGGCAGTCCAATCCCAAATATTTTTTAATTCTACTTCACTAGACAAATTTTATCATTCTCAAATTCCCTTTGCCGTGTTGCGGATTAAATCTAATTCCGATATTCAAGTACATACGTGAAGCAGAGGTACTGTACCAAACAATTTTAAATAAATGGCAAAGGTAAGGTAACCATCCATATTTATATCATAATGATAATAACACTATAGTTTCCGACCCAACAGTTGGAGACGGCTAATTTGTGGAGCCCACATCAGAGAAATAGTCAAAATGTAAAACCTATCGCTGGACCTGTCCAAATTAGAGATGTACCGATACCACTTTTGTCGCCGATACCGATCCGATACCAGCTAAAAACGCCGATACCGATACCGATACGCCGATACTACAAAAATGCCGATATTACCGATATTCCGATACCGATACTATGTAATTATTACTTAATTAGGTATGCTGTGTAGGGCAGACGGGTTAAAACAATGGTCTTTAAGCGTTGTTCATAATACACATTATTTCAGATCGAAAAAAAAGATATATATATCACATAATATGAAATTAATGTTTGGTATCCATATGCTGTAACTGATTAAGATACATTGTACAGTAACGCTAGTAATCTCGGTGTTCAATTAGAAAACTCATAAACCGGGATGTCCAATTTGAATTTAATGTTAATATCGCGAGCTTCGAATATCGTTATTCGTGTTTAAAAGAATATCGAATATCACCCACACATTCTAGCGCCGCCGTCCTACGTTCAAATTAAAAGCATTTTACAAATATTTAATTTAGTGGCTAATCGTAATCGTCGACGCAATAAGTCAAAGCCAACATGAAAGAATATCAATCAGCAACGACAAAAAGAAGGCCCACCGATAACCGTTGAGGATGTTTTTTTACTTCACTATTTTATAATATTTTACAATTGCTATCCTATATTTTGAGACAGTCTAGGGCTAGGCGGTCAAGTCAATATATCTATAAAGAAATCGTGTAGTTAAGCAGAATTAAAATTAATACCTGTGTAGTGGGATAGTTGTGTCGGAATTTAGTTTATCGATGTCGACGGACTAAATGACACTCGTACTTGACGACAAACAGTCAGAATTTATACCCGTGCCAAAAGTCCATGTGCCGTTAATAAGGAAGGACCCCAATTCCACTGTATGATTTAAAACTGGGCGCCTAGTTGCTTTTTGTTATGTGCTGTGTTGATATATTTCTTCATAAAAACTATGTAATATTAAAAATGTCAATATAAAAATTTGACAGCGAAAATAGCCATATTAGTTGAGCTAGTTTAGCTGATAAATAGCTAAAAATACGTGAATCCTATTCTCTCGCAGGGGTGGAGACATGTATGGCTCATAGCTCACGATCTCTCCAGACAAAAATAAATTAAAAAGTAGTATTCCAACGTATCTTTTAAAACATTCTGGACCATATCAAAAAGGTAAATATATCGGTAATATCGGCCTTAATCTAACCGATACCGATACATGGCCGATACCGAAAAAATGGCCGATATTGCCGATACCGATACATCTCTAGTCCAAATATGTGTTTCCATAATTCATAAAGACTTTAGATAAATATCCACGAGAATACATTTTGTGCAAGTATGGCAGACCCGAAATCAAGCTACCGACTGAACTACCCCATTTTCTTTTGTATGGTTCACAAAACTGACAGAAGTATTGAGCATTACCCATTTTTAAAAACTCGTCACTTGCTACTAAGCCGACGACTCAATGAGGTACGATTGATCTAGCTATAATGAATACAAATACGCTGTCCTAAGCGTGTCCTACGCTACTGTAGATCATGTGCATTTGCAGGCGCTCCAGAAGTATGTGCACCAAGATGGCGCACAACCTGAACCATGACCTGGTACACATACTATGTTCAGGTGTGTGCCATCTTGGTGCATATACTTCTGGATGTCCGCATTTTAAAAAAAAATTGTGGTATCACTGGCTCGGTTTCGAGAATGAATTCAAGAAAACAAGGTGTTTTTAAAAGCACAATTTTTATTTTAATTATGCAAAAGCACAAGTGAAAATGCTGTACAAAGTTTAATAAAGTAACAGTTTGCTACTGCGAATATCGGGATTGATTTCATAGTTGATTTCATTTATTAGTCGGCTAAATTCTTGATTTTAAAATCATAAAACTCCTCCATCTTGAATGAAAAGGTTGACAAATATACCTTTCATCCCATATTCCACATGAATATTAAAGTTTACTGCAAATAACAAATGAATTGTGTACATTTACAATGTTGGAAATATCAAGCCTTGAAGACAATATGACCATTGACATTCAAGATGGAGCGAATACTTTTAATCTGACACTTGTGCGTCTATATGAAAATAAGATCTTGGCATATAACTAAAGAAGATAAGTACTTAAATCGACACTATTAACATCATAATTGGCATAATCACAAGAGCATTGAAAGGAAAGATCGTACCATATATAATGTCCTGTAAATATTGTTGGAAACAAAAAATTCTACAACTGGGATATTTCAAAACAAGGAACACATTTTCAGTAACTTAAATAGCCACATTACAATTTAATACAAATTAATTTTTTCATTAAGTTGAACAAATGTAATAGAATTGACACTGATGAAACATAATTAGTGGTATGTCAGTAAAAGTTGGTGATAGCTACCATACAACATAGTAAATTATTATTTCAAGATCTTAGAATATTTTAATTTACTTTGGGCATTCAAAAGACGAATTAATAAAAATTATTTTACTCCTTCTGATGAAAACAATATCATAGTGACTTGTCCTTAGTAGTAAAATTTATCATAGTGTGAAAATATGTTGTGTTCAATGTAGTTTGAGTCTCATCAACAATGTTGCTATATAATTTGAAGTTGTAAAATATGAATAGAAGTACTGGCATATGTTGTTTCTCTTGCAATCCAACCACCATCATGACAGGCGAGTGCTATTAAACATTGCTACATAAGCAGTGTTTCGAAATACATGTACTGTATTCCAATACCCTATACAATTATAAAGATCTAAAAAATCTACCAATTGCTTGTGTACCACAAAAAAATGGGTGCTCCCGAAGTATGTGAACCAAGATGGCGGATACTGGAACTTAGTATGTGTACCAGGTTAGGGTAAGCCGTAATTTTATTCCAATTTTCCTTTTAGTTCTATTATGAGTTCCGTGACTGGCCAAGTGACTCCCGTAGTATTTGTACCTGAAATTATGACATAACCCTAACCTGGTACTCATACTACGTTCCGGTGTCCGCCATCTTGGTTCACATACTTCGGGAGTACCAAAAAATGAGTAAAAAGAAGAAATGCACACAATGAAATACAGCACAAATGATTAAATTGGGCACCATTAGATAAACTTGAAAAAAAAGACAGTAACAAGAGAAGGCACATGATAGCATAGAACCTAATGGAATTTGTCTTTAAAGAAATGAAAATCTTTTCTCATTAAAATTTAATTCTTAATCAGAAACTTTATTGGTTAAGATATATATTATCCTATATAATCATCAACTAAAGGCATAAACCAGCAAGAACTGGAAACAATCAAGTATGGTGATCATGAAGGCAGAGTTTCAGAATTTGCATATTCCGTAACCAGAACCATATAATGAATGGGGAAGACAAATAATAAAATACAAGGCACTGTTTCAAGAATAAGTAAATTTGGCCCATGAATAAAGAAAATGTGAATGCATAATTATTGATCAACGTAGAACCATTTGTATTTAATTAGTACCTTTAACAGATCAGAAAGATGAGATGCTACTATACAGGTGTTTAATACTGTTGAATATAATGTGCTGCTGTAAATGGGACTCGAGATATAATAAGATTTTTAAACAGATAATGAATTCTAGTTACAAGGATTGACTTGAGCATGAAAGTGCACATTTTTGAAGTCACATTCTGTCCAATAATCGAGGAGTTGAGCAGCTTAACTCAAATTCAAATATTAATCTTAAATAAGCCACAATCATAACACCATAAACTAAGATATGTGAAACGACAACAATTTTTCAAGATAACCCAAATTCCCTCTATAAAATAATGACATTTTTTTTCAGCCACGGGCAGTTACAACTTGAATTATACCAAACTGTTTATGTCTCTAGAGTCCTTCCAACACCCATTTATCACATAGAACATTGGTGCCATTTTTTACATACCGGTAGATCAAATTCAAGTATTCATTCAGAAAGTTGAAAACTGTGTGTAAAGTTTCAGGTTTGTGTTTATAATGAAATCGGTGGGAGTTGACAAAACGAAAAATAAAATTACACAAAAAGGAAACAAAAGACATTTTTTATAACTTCAAAATTAAATTGAATTGACAAATTTGCCCATTATTCAATTCTGGTCATCACATATATGAATATTTTTTTACTTTTATCGAAGAAATTCTTCCATTCATTGGTACAAAACAACAGCAGCAACAGAAAGATAAAAAAGCAAACACTATGTGTCATTCAGGTAATAACCGTGATAAAAACGGCACACCATTATTGACACAGGGGCTTTGTCATCGAATATCATCTTATATATCTGGGCATGTTGTATGATAACAAACTGCAACATATTTATTTGATTTTCTTTAAATTCTGAGTGACACACAAAAGCTTAAAATACTGATAGTCATTAAAATATACAGGAATTACTAGAATTCAATCACACATTCATAAAAGCGATAAAGTAACAAATACAAAGAAGAAAATGTATTGTCTCTCACATTTCATAATTACAGATATAGTGCAAATACAGCATTGATATAACAGAAATATTCTGACATTCTCACTCAATTCTATCTTACAACAGGAAATCACAAAATACAAACTTGTGATGTTTTGGGAAATCAGGAGATAACATCCAGTAGTAATAAGCATTAGCAAAGGCTGAAGGGTTTTCCAATGGCAAGTGGAGAATGCAGGTACAAAAAGATGTGGTTGTTTCAGACAAAGGCCTCAGTGCCGCTACTACCCATGTTGTCTGTAGTCAATCCTTTTCGTTCTGCGTCATCCGTGCCATTCAAATTGCTGTAGTTGTACGAGCGTCCAGCAGTTCTACGAAACAGAGCATAACAATGCCTGTTGGTTTCACAAAATGCACAAAATTTTTGCAAAATAAATTAATTTCCATGCAGCATAGCTACTATTTGGAAAGAAGTGAGCATCAAACAAAGACAAATTTAAGCACATGCAAAGCTAAGAGAAATTTTTAATTCGAAGAAATTTCTTGCCAAAAAAAAAAACTACCGTAGTTCAAAATTGACAAACGGTTTAAAATCTAAAATAAATTGGTTTTATATATGCAAGAAAAACAATAAATTTCCTATTGCACAAAGATATCTCAAAAAACCTTATCATCTCAATAACGTAAACAAATTCCTCATTATTACAATTACACGAGTAAAAAAGCAAGGAAATGATTAGAGACAGCCAATGACTTGTTAACTGTTACATCAACCATTGAAACTAGCCGATGTAAAGTAGCAATTAATTAATAAGATAAAGACTTAAATAAAAAGAAAATGATGGTGCAAACCCAAAATTTCAGTGAATGCAGTGAGCAAGTAATAAGTGTATATAATAATTAGTGCATACAAAATGAACTTTGAAACTTATCAAACATTAAAACATTTTTTGTGAAAATCAATGATCAAAACAAGGCTACATGACATGGAATTACTGAAACTCATTGTCTAGCTACAAGTAAGCAACATGCGCAAACCAAAATTGTAATTTCTTACCTTGCACGTCGTCCATATCTTTTCCATAAAAAGAAAAGCACAATTGTCAAAAGAATTCCAACAGCAATCCCACCAAACAACAGTCCTGAATAATTCGAAGTTTCTACTGGAACAGTTTTTTCTATAACATCTAAATTATAAGAAATTTTAAGTCTCGTATTCTCAATAAAAAATGTTTTTATCCCTCACCAGTCACCAGATTATATTGTATGAAAAAACCGACCATATATTGACAGGATGGCAATAAACAGATAGACCAAAAAGTAAGAGTAAACTCATATTAGTCCTCACGCGTTTAAGTACATCACAATAAACGATATCAGCAGACATGTTTATTGAGCCCGAATCTTTCTGGTTCAGCACTGACTATCCAATTTATTACACCCTTGATGATGTGGGGGGGGGGGAATTTAAACTCAAGATGTGTGATCTCTGATGCCAACCCGCCTACATTTAGCCCACCTGTAGTTTGGGTATAAACATATGTCATTATCTTATGCACAAGTTCACACTTGACTAGTAACAAATGATCATGTGTATGCACACCGTCAAATCACAAAGCCTCTTAATTTACCTGATGTTTGAACCGGTGTTATTAATATTAACCACAAACGATTGATTTCTATCCAACATGTTGAAGTATTATTCACAAAAACTAGCATATGAAAGCTTTCTTGATTATCTGTTTAGAATGCTCAGTCAACTAACTACGATACTTTCTTGGTTTCCACCAGAAATTTTGAATTTGATATAAAAATTCTGAAATTCTGACTAGAGAATTAGATCCAAGGGTTCAGACATGCAACTCTGGTCCAGATTCCAATAGAGCAACATGCCAAACTTGACACTACAGCCCTGCTACATACTGTATTCTACATAAGCAATGTATTTAAAACCAATTCTACCATAACAAGATAGTTCTGTGAATGGGACAGTCGTAAGTATATACTAGTTTTAAGTCTACGTCTATAAGAACCAATGATAACTGACCTGTGACCTGAGCTTCAAGAGGTTGTTTGATGTCAACAAGAAATCTGTCAGCCAGCTCTGGAGGATATGAACATCTAAGTGAATCAAATTGAAAGAATTAGCATTTTGATCAAAAACTATAGCAGCAAGCTTGTCAGTTGAGCAAAACAATAATGATTGTCTCCAATATTGAATGAACTGAAAACTCATTAACATAGTATTAGGGTGTGTATGCAAAACCACAGCATTTCAGTATTGTTTAAATATGAATATCGACTATCTGTTATGGATGGGTCGAGATTCGGATTTGAGTCGAATCCAAGCATTTTTTGAACTCTGTTTCAATTTCTAGTCACTTTTATCGAATCCATAATCAATTCGGTTTTTACTAATTTATGTTTGTGCTTTTATCTCCGTAAATCTAATAAACTTCTAATAAAAACGACGGCAGATATCTAGATAAAATAGCGCATATTTAAGACTATTGATCACTTATGACAGTAATGTCTCCGCCCTTACTATCGAGTTTAACGAACTTTTACATGAATTGTATTGACTGTATCTACTGTATTGACGAGTGGAATCTCTCTACAATTTGCGCATGCGACATAGTAAGTTTACGGCTGAAACTATCTGCAATTATAAGGATGCATTGTAGTCAAAATTGTGATCTTTTTTCATATCGACATGTGGGAATTTCTAAATAGCCGCCCAGAATTAACCAAAGGCGGACTGAAATCCAGTCTACAACCAAGGTGAACCGAACGTTCACATTGTGGCCGTTAAAAAAATATATTCTTAAAATGGTTCAAAAGCTTTCTACGGAACCAATAGGCAAAAAATACGAAATAAGGCGTATGTTGGTGTGCGCACGTTGCTGTAGGAGAGTCAGAAACATGTTTTTCTGCTTTTTCCATTCTGACGCCGCGGGCTCGGAAAATTCGATTCGAGTCCTTGACCTATTACTCAGATTTGTCAAATCTCTGTAATGCCAGACTCGTCCCATCCCCACTATCCGTTACACTCATAGTTCAGATATTATCAGACTAAGAGCTTACATAAGAGTAAACCTACTTTATACCATCCGCAAAAAGATCAGGAAAATGTTTCCGGACTTTTTTATCCTTAACATAATTCCTCATTTCCTCCATGTTGTCATCACAATTAAAGGCATTATCTTCCAAAAATATTTTCTTAATTGTGGGATTTTCCTGTAATAAGGAAAAATAATAAGCAATATTCGGTTTCTCTTATATGCAAAAATGTTTCATTTCATAATATTATATACCGGTACCACATATTAAATTGCTTTCTATGTGGTTACCATTTTATTGCTAAATTAAAAAAAAATTCCATTGAAATGGTGAAAGTATGTATATAAAGTTGCAAAGATTGAAATATTAGCTAACTTTTGTCATATCAGTATAAAAGCATTACCCGTTCCGTCAGAGTCTTGACTGTGTTGGGGTACATCACACCAATCTGATTTGACTCTAGATGAATAAATCTGAAAAATATTGAAAAGATTGCTTACTCACTGTGAAGATTCTAAGGCAAAGAGCAATTTTTTGCCTTATAGTTAAACCTATCTTCCAATTATAAATGCAATTCATTAACAAAAGATGGCTTGGCAACACAATACCAAAAACATCTGTTTTTACAAATTCAGTAAACTTTCTAAAACCCACATGTTATATGAAAAGAAAAAGATGAGATTTCTTTTTGCCGCAGAACCTGGTGAATTGGTGTTTACTCACTTGATTCCCTTGAGTGGAGCAAATGCATCATCACTTATTGTTTTAATTGTATTGTGTCGAATATAGAGCCATTGCAAATCTGCCAAATCCTGTAAGTGAAAAAGATGAAACAAACTGAACATAGCGAAAAAAATGAAAAGGAATTTATAACATCCAGCAATGTTATCATCCCTGCCAAGCCCATGTTAACAGAATCATTTGCTACATTACTAATCAGCGAAGAATAGATGAACTAGCAGTTGATATGGTAGATTCTCCATTTCACTACATTATCATTTGAAGACTCGTGGAAAGATATTTTTAATTCTCAATCTCTTCTCTAAACTCCTAATTGGCTATTTACAAAATAAAATAAAGTTGATAGAACACAAGGCTTAGTATATAGCGCTGTGGTTTTCAAACGATTCCTGTGGCACCCAAAGGGCATATGCATAATGTTTAAATATAATCGAATACCTATCAGGTTTGCCACTATTAGTCGCTCACTTTAAAGATAATTTTTTGCCAGTGTTAGGTACACTATTATACAGGGTGATCAGACCAAGTGTGGACAAATGTTTATTAAAATATCTACAATATAAGTTTAGGAGAGAAAAAAAATATTTTGCAAAAAATAGAATTAAAAAGATAAATAATATAATGCATTGTTATTTTTCGGTATATCTTCCCTTTGCCTTTATTACAAGCCCCGATCTGATTGGAACTTGACTGCACAAGGCACGAATGGTTTCTTCTGAAATTTTGTCCCAGCAAGTTATCAATCTATGCTTTGGAGCAGTTGTTCTCAATATTTATAGTTTATACAATTCATACAATAGAAGAAAATTAAACTATTGCACATGTTTTTCTTGAGTCTCTAGGATGTTTGGGGTTCGGCTCCACCAAGAAGGTTGAAAATCATAGATGGGCCAAAATTAGAAAAGTCATTAGGTTTCTGGCCAACCCCATATCTACGAAAAAACAATCCCTGGAAAAGCATTTTATCAATTAATTTTACCTTAAACATATCATCATCAATTCTCAGAAGTTTATTTTTATCCAGAACGAGAACCTTTAGGTTCACCAAAGGTGCAAATGTCTTTGGTTCGATAGAAGTCAGTCTGTTTTCTTGTAATGTTAATGTTGTTAAAGCTGCCAATCCTTTAAAAGCCTTAAAATATAACATTTCACATTATTTCAGGGCAAGTCATAAATAATGGCAGATAATTTCATTGTTCCACATCTTCGCTTCGTATGTGTATAAGTATACTTTACTACTGTTGGAATATTTGGAAAAAACTGGAACCTTTTTGTTCGATAAACCCCCAGTTTATTACACCCTTGTGTATAATAAACTTTAGGTCTTGTTAAGATATCTATGCTGCATCATCATTTATCAATAAAACACGCCTGATAAGCTTGGAAAAATTTAAAAATATTCCAGAAGTCAACAAGCATGTTTTCTCAAATGTTTTTTTTTATTTCCGCAAAACAGATTTTATATAAAATGTCATCAATGAAGTATCAGACAAAAACTTATCAGTGGCATAATTTTGCCCAAGTGTGTTCACATAACCATACCAATAAAAGTTTAGAGATCTTACATCAGGATGAATATGTGATATCTGGTTGTTGTCCATTCTTAACTCTTCCAAGTTTACGAATTTTGCAAAGGCATTAGCACCAAGGCTGGTTAGACCATTAGTAGCAAAACTAATAGTAATTGCATCAGCAGGCATATCAGCAGGAATTTCTAGAAAAATAGATACATCATCATGAGTTCAAGTTTTCAAAGTTATGATTACAAAATCTATAGTTTAAGGGCACTCCAGCAGTATATGTACCAATATGGAGGTAACTAATTTTGTTCGCCTATTTTACATCAAGTTGTGTAAAGGGACTGAAACCTATGGGCAAGGGGCTAACACAGACAGTCCCCGAACTCGTAATGGAACTAAAATAAGGAAAATCGGTATAAAATTATGCACTAAACCTAACCTGGTACACACACCATGGGAGCACCAGTTTAAGACCATCTCTCTCAATATACACACTTAGGTATTCCATTCATTGTGCATTCAAAGTTTCATAAAATATCATAAATATATACGACTGAATTTTTTAATAACAATGACATTTATAGTTTCTGACAGTTATTTTTCTCAATAGATTATTTTAAGTAGTATCAAAAAGTTATCATTGAACCACTGTTTACCATGATTTATTGACTATTGCGATGTAGAGATGGCTAGTTAGTAATGGCTTTTTTGTTCAGTTAATCAGTCAGCTCAGTTGGGCAAGATATTCTCACATTCATCTTGAAATAGTATAGGATTTCAAACAATCTCTTGCCATACTCCTAAAATATATACTCATGAAATTTTAATTTACCTTGTCGACTTCTTATAGTGGCCTCCTCAAATAAAGAATAATCAATTGTGTGAGCCTTCTTTATAACATCTAACACGTTAAAAATATTACTTATGTCGCCGGTGCCAAGTATAGTTTTCTTACCAGTCATCTTAACCGCGTTGCCATCACCAGCACAATCTATATGTCTCGATATACACTGACAACCATGGGGACATTCTTTACTGACTCTTGCTGTCTCATGATCATCGGGTTGTATTGTAGGTTTCTAAGAAAGGAATAAACATTGTATTCAAGTTTGAAGATATTGGTCAATATATTCTTGCCCACTGGGCCACCACTTCACACAAGGTCTATAAAAAATACAATATCAAACCAGGAATAGACAAAATAATTGAATGTTTGATGTTATATTCAATATTTGAAATAAATTTTAAAATAGTAAGTTCGATTTTAGCTTAAATTAAACAACTTAAATTTAGGAACGTCATTAGAAATGGATAGATAAAGTCCAAAAAACTAAAAATATTTTTGAACATATATGTTCTGAGTTTAATGAATATATTTCAACTGATTTTGAATTATTTTCATTCAACTACTTCCTTAGGAATATTAGAAGCTGAGTAAACTCAACTGTAAAGATTGGTCCTTTGGTTGTTGGTCCAGGTGGTCCAGGTTTTCTTTTTAACACATCTATCCTTGTATTAGCTACGAAGGTCCCTGCAAAGATTTAAAATAGGTACGGATGAAGTTGGAAATAGAATTTGTTTCAAGCATAATTATAGAACAGCAATAGGCGGAAGGAATGACTTTTCAGGGCAATGCCCTTTTCAATTGAACTGGACAAAAATAACTCATTGTAATGGAAATACAAATAGGAGATTTGCTGCATAAAGGCCATATTATTTCTATTCAACAAAAATTAATTATTTGGTGACTTGTCTAAAATATTTTTATAAACTTGTTACCACTGTGAAACTCCTATTTATCCATAGATATTGAGGGCAAAGCTCAAACCATAATTTCAAGATCATGAACAAAACATACCTTTCAAGTTGGATGCTGTGCAAGAGTAGTCACCGGTATCACTTGAATTCAAGTGAGATATGAGTAGTGAACCATTTTGATGTACTGTGATTCCATCGAAATTACCAGCTGTATTAAGTCTGTAAACATCTTTATTAGGTGCTGTCCAAGAAATGGTAGGTACCGGAAACTCTGTCAAAAGACAAGTGATTGATTGATTCGAACTACTTTACATGGGCCTTTTCTTAGGAACATTGATATGAAAAGAATTGATGTATTACTAATGTCATAAAAATACATCTAAATTCTCAAGCATCTGAAAATAGTACTTTATTGAATAAAAACAATTTAGACCTCATTTCAAAAATGTGATTTTTAGACTACAAGAAGTAAATTACAAATTTATCAAGGGTACACGCAAATATGTGGTCACAAATATATGGCAACAAGGTTGGCACTGGGGCACCAAAATCAATTGAGCAGAGAAATTTTTGGGAGCACAGATAGTTAGATCAAATTTGAAAAAAAATATAAACCTTCAGTATTCAACTACAAAATTTTAAATGTGACTGTGCCAATTATTATAAAGAAAAGTGTATGTTGTCCGAAAAACAACATAAACAACAGCAATATAGTAAAACAATACAAAAGTCTACAAAAATTCACATGAAAAACAGCCTATGACAAATTATTAATTACACTTTTATTTGCCAACTATTTTCCCATCTTTGGCAAGACTATGAAATGGTGCTTACCATAATTTTACCAAACTCAAGTTAAACTTTGTTGAATTAATCAAACTTACTGTTAGGATCGACAACACAGCGAAGTAAAACATCTCGGCCTTCTTCAATTTTTGCTGGTGATGATATACCAGTGATTACAGGCATATCACAAGTCTTATTTAATTCCGCATGATCCAGGCTTACAAGCTGTTTCATGTTATAAGGACTTGGTCTGAAAAACGTAAAACCATATCAGCCTTTATGGAAATCCATTTTTGTATTCATCATTACAACAAAGACAAATTAGTCAAATCACATATAAACAAGCAGATTGGTGGAAAATTGGTAATAAGATCTGGAAATTGAGGAATCTGAATATTTTTAAAGACTATTATTAATTTACTATTACAATTATATCCCTGTATATTGTTATTGTCAATAAAAAAACATAATTAGATATTTTTGGGACGCGTTAAAATTTCAAAAACCATTGCTTTTTTCACCCTACATCACCCTATGACCAATATATCATCATTGTTGTGAGGATAACACGAACATAAAAATGTTAAAAATAAAATATAAATGAAAATAAAAATGTTAGTTACAATTGGCAAGTGATCGGGTGTTCAGTGGTGAGATCGATAAACCATTTTGCCTTCTTTTGTTTTTGCAACCAATCATGTGAAACATTCATTGCGCAATCGCAGGACCAGGGATTATTGTCAAATCGAAGTTCCTGAAAAAACAATCATACTTTTGTACTTTGAACAGTTATGATATTCACAGTTCCAGTCAATTTTTTACAACAGATATTATTGCAATATCTGCAACTTTTGGTTCACAATGCCCAAAATACATTACCCCATAAGAAAATTGAGTCAAACCATATGACACATTACTGCTGTACTTAAGCTATCAAAGCATTCTGCTGTGTGAGCAAACATATAGGAGATATGATGTCATTTCTATCATTTTAGTTTATACACCATAATACACGCAAAAATGATAAGCATATTAATGAGCCTTTATAGCACAGATGCTGAAATTTCTTTCTATACTAGCTATTATGACTAAATGAAATAATTTGCATAGCTCAAAAAGTATCATTTTTTCTATGATATTCCACATTTACATTATTGTTATTAGGTATCTTCCAATATCAACCTAATCAATACCGGCATGAGATTTCACCACTTGTAAATAGAAATCAGAAGCGAATAGAGAAAACTGACAAAAAGCAACCAGTTTTTAAATGTTGTAAACAAAACGAGAATTTTATACAGCATTATACAACATCACAGTGTGAAAATTAAAGTCTTGAACTGGCGCATGAAATTTTGCCTCAAACCAACCCATAAAAATCCTACAATGATAATAGTGCCCAGTGAATAATATTTGAATAAACTATAAAGACAATGACAAATATCATGAGATAATATTGTGTTGCTTACACTTATGGTATTTAGATAAGAATGACTAATACCAAAAACTTTTTTCCTATTCCATGACACCATATTTAAATTGTCGACCAAAATAATGAATAATATTGCCAATGAAAAATAGCCTCTGGAAATTGCCATTGTATTTTTTGCCTTTTCAAAAGAATAGAGGATACAGTCATGTTTTCAGATTTGCCTTAGGCTAGAAATATTACGGAATCAATAGACAGTTTCAAGTTCTAAGCTCCGTCATACAAATTCAAGCAGTAATATTTGTCATTCGATGTGGAGAAAAGCAAACAAGTGTTTGGAAATATGTAAATAAGATAGGAAATGCTTCAAAATGACTTGGATAGGACAATATCATAACTTTCAATAAAAATAGCCTATTTCACATTAGCAAATATCTCTGCTAGTCAATTAGTTTTTACCTTTATTTCCTTTACATTCTTTCCATATTAATTAATACCCACAGGAATCAAAATTGAATTGAGAATATCAAAAAAATTAACAAATGATTAAAAGAAATCTAGAATTCAAAATATAAATAAAACAATACAATAGAACGGAATTTAATTGTTGTAAGTTATAGCCTATATATTTGTTTGATGTAGCATCAAATATATTATTCATTTATCAAATGAATCGAAGCTATTTTGGTGTCTTACATATGGTTTGTGACTGTGCTCAGGCATCTACTGGTAATTGCCAAACACTACGCATGCAAAAACATAACACGACGTCTTTTTTAAATTTTTTTGCGAATTATTTAAGCTTTGATTTGGAAAAAATTCAAATTCATAACCCTTTTGCTAAGGTTTTGTAAGATACTGGTTCGAGTGTAACTTTGGTTCTAATTTCTAAGTGGCATAAATTAAAGATGGGGGGTTGACTTCAATTGTAAACTTTCAATTCAAAACTATTGTTTCTTTTATTAATAGATAATCTTTTTTTCGAAATTTCTTCTATTTATATAGAAGATATAAATGAAATTTATTCTAATCTGGGTATATACAAAAGAACAGAAAAATAATATTCCACACAATTATGTCATTGGGCAACAATTATGCCATAACTCAATAACCTATCAATGAAAGAAATTCGTTTTTGATATAACAGCATAAACTCAAAATGATCCGTTAATTGAAAAATCAATAAATATTTTCAATTCATCACTACTACAAACCACAGCCATATAATTTTAATTGTAACCCCGCGTAAATATGGAGTTTATATTAAAAATCCATTCACAACGGACTAGAGGCCGGCGTGCTATTGCGTAAAAATACTTCCAAGTTCCAACATTCAGCCAATGAAAAAAATGAACCAACCGTGAAAGCATTTGCTTGTAATTTTTCAACCCATTTATGATTGAACGTGTGTAGTTTATTCCCATCCAGTCGAAGATTTCTTAAATTTTTCAGCTGAAGGAACGCATGTGGATGAATAAATGTGATTATATTGTTTTGTAGATGGAGTTCAGAAAGTTGCTCGAGATCGTAGAAAAGAAAGTGTTGAATAAATTCCATCTTGTTGCCATCAAGATGCAAAACCTGTTTCCAAAAAAAAGAAGAAGTAGATACTTCAATCAGGTATCATTTGATATGCAAGCAAATTCTACTTTTAGGCAAAAATTAAAATATGAGCAAATACAAAATCTATCACTATACCTCTAACTTCAATGGATTCCACTCAAAAATATCATCAGCAATAGTTGATATTGAGTTATTGGTCAAAATCAATGTCTTCAGATTGTCAAGATTATCGAATGCATCATATGATAACTTTGTTATCATGTTGTTGGTAAGAACCAATGTTGCTAGATTGGACTCTTCTGGCAACTGAAACAACGAAAGTGATCATCATAAATTGAAGAACTCAAAAAAATAAGTTAAAACAAAGTGTATAAAATCTCAAAATATACCCGCGAAAACATTAAAACTTCATGAATGGAAAAAAATAAAAAATGACAACATACCTGACCAATTTCTTTTATTTTATTATCATTGAGATAAATTGCTTGTGTATCATTCCTGATACCACCCGGAAACTTGACTAACTCCTGACCTCGACAATCCATAATAAAGTTCGAACAAGTGCACCTGAAAGATAACAAACAAAATTATTTAGGCTTTACTAATTTACTGCTTAGAAAAACAAAAGTGATCCTCAATTTATGCTTACTTTTTCAAGTCTCCACATCGTGTATCTGCAGCTTGAGCTATGATAATATATTGAAAAAAAAGTAAAAAACTCGTACATTTGAATAACATATTGCTCTTATAAATCTGAAATGAATAATTATAATTTTAAGTTGGCAATACATCAACATTCCTTTAATTTTTTCATACAGAAATGCAATATTGACATGTCTATATTAAAACGGTAAAAGCGCTGTCTAATCTAATGGTGAGATTGTGAGATATAATGAAATTAACTATGAAAGAAACTTTGGTTCAATTTATCATCTTTCTCATGAAGTATATATGCAGATGTGATGCCAGGATACAGTATTACACTATATACCAATTGTTTGTCGAATTGGAATTGATAAGTACAGTAATCTGCATGGTGGTAAACATTAGCTTGTTACTGTGTTGAGTGGCTTTAAATGCCATTTGTCAGTTTTTAGTTATATTTTCAAATTAAAATATTGATTAACTAACTCAATTTGACAAAATCTCCAACAGTTGTACAGTACTATCTCATTATCTAAAAACTAAGATAAAAATACTTGGCAGACTGATAAATAACTTTGTTATTGGACACCAAGTTGACTCATGAATCGTTTTGCTAAAGTATTGTAGACATTGTGGCTTTCTTAATGCAGTAATGCTGCTTGGACCAAATCGCTTTTTACGGAGCCAATCTCTGAATATATTCCAAATTTTCAGTCTTAAAGATAATTCAAGTTTCTAGAAGGCTTTGTACAGTTGTATATATACTTTTTAAAATTACTTACAGATCCTATGTGGCCGTATACTTAATATATGACCAGAACACGGTAATTTTAAGTTTTGTGTATGGACCTTTGGTCAAAATAGTTGAGTAGCCCAGGATTACGGTACACCCCCCACGCACGAATTTTGTATAAATTCTCACCTTCCGTTAGTGAAATAGATAAGTGGGAATTTACCATCATTCATTTTATTTCGGTTCTCTGACATAAACAACACAAAAAGTAAACAGACAAACAAAATGCAGGGAGGTGGGCATTACTTAAAATAAATTTGAAAAACACACTTGCCCACCCACCATAAAAATAACGTAGTTTTTGGATGGTGTAGTCATGTGGGGGTTAGGATTGACATGTAAAAAAATTGTCATGCTATGCACACTAGAAGTAAGTTAGGTACGAAACTAGTCTACATGAGACCCATAAACTTCTAATACCAGAAGAATAACTGCTCCCGTCTCTGATTGATGCAAATTTACCGATCTAGCCTACATGTTCGTATCCAATTATAGCTTATTGGGGAGTCCTGGAGTCACTAGAATTAAGGCGCACAGCTCACATATCTGAAATGAGGTTGATTTCAAATGCTGCAAATTCTGATTCTGAAATTTTATGGTTTTGTATAGGGCAGTAGGGCATGCCTAACTTACTATATAACGTTAAGTAAAAAGCTAGAGGACACGTTGTTCGCATTTAGAGACAAAAACATTCACACAAAATTTAACAAATGTACAAAACATGTGTACAGCCCTCTAGCTCATCTGACCATGAAGACGGGAACTGTATTCACTCAAAATTTAACAAATGTACAAAACATGTGTACAGCCCTCTAGCTCATCTTACCATGAAGACGGGAACTGTATTAATCTTGACACAGTGTCGGTCTAACACCTCGACAGGACGATCAGCATAACGAAGGAAGTTGACGCCAGACAGTGTCTGCTCAGTAAACTATGGTCTGTTCGCTAACAATCGCTGGTTCGGATGACGTTATGCGGAATGTATCACGTGAACACAGGAATCATAAAACAAATCACCATTTTATGTATTACATCTGTGGCACAAGCTTGTTTAACATCCCAATTTCATATTCTATAGATCAGAGGTTCTCAAACTTATTTACCTCGCCTCTTTTTTACAATTTCCGAGTCCCGCGCCCACCTCAAATATAATTAGCTAACAATGGGCTACAACAACGGCTACAAAAAAATTTAATAATGCAAAAGTATGGTTTCTTCGAAAAACACGTTGAAAGTATACGCAGATGGAACGTAATTAATAAAATAAATGAAAAGATTCAGAAACAAGAAAACTTTGTTGCTATTTTAATCAGTGCAGTTGTTTTCGGCTGACAAAATAAGAAATTTAGGTGCTCCAGAAGTATGCGCACCAAGATGTCGCACAACCTGAATCCTAACCGGTACACACCAAAGTGTGTAGCCTATAACTTACAAAAGTTGTACGTTTTACGGAAAATACGCTTTTACTACAATAAATATGTGTTACTATCTGTCCTATATGCTCTGTTTTCCCGGTATCATGGGCCAATGAACGCAGACTTCTGCATGACGTAACAATCAAATTTGTCAGCTGTAGGTGGTTCCCCAGTGGTCGGATAGGATTTACATATTTATCCCGGTGGAGAGGAAAGCCGATAAGACAGCTTATCCATATAGCGAACCACGGCTTCTAGTCCGGTTACCATTCCAAGTCGGGTATGAGATTAGTTATATTGTTTGTTTTCGGAAGCATGGACTTAGTGGTGGAGGAAGCCGTAACCGACCAGCGGTTACGTGAACCACCCAACGACGGCGAGGAGTCCAGCAATCCTCTCGCACATAACCATCCCTGCATGGGATTCGAACCCGCGAACCCATGCAGAGTAATTAGAGGTGCGGTGGCGAGCGTATTCCTAACGCTTAGCCCGTTGAGCCACACCGCCGCGCCGGATGAATATCAGATGCTTTTGCGTTGAGTTGATTAGCCTTTCCATAGTCTTTTAGTTATTAGTAGTTCAGTTATTCTAAGAAGGTGTTAAAAAAATATAAGTAAGATATTAAACACTTGTAGGCTATATCCTTACCATAAATAGCAATTTTAGTTGAGCACTAGCTCATAAGACGTTGTTGAATAGGTACGGTGCGGTAACTCCGAGGACGGCTAGACCTAGAATAATATGTCACAAACAACGATATTTTCTGGCTTGCATGAAAGGTTAATGATTAAATTAATGACTATTCAGCAGACTATTCTACTATATAGGCCACGTCATATTTGAAAATAGAAATTAATGGCTGTTTCTGTACGGTGCACGGTTGTGTGAAAGAGAGGAAAATAATATATGTAAAATAATGATATATTGAAATTCAGTGTAGATATAGTCTAGTACCGGTATGCAAACACTGCATGACTGTAGTACATCCAATGAGCATATATACGCTCATTGAGTACATCAGATAAAATGAATTATGTATTGAAGGTATTAGTCAGTATTCAGAGGTATTTTTACACTCATGCTGTTCCAAATATAATGTTTTTCCTCATTTTAGATACTGTACTACAAAAGAAAACGGCAATGTTCCACCAATCCAACCTAACGCAGGCTCTAATCCTTGCTGCTATCAGTGTTATAAAATAGATCGAACAAGAAATCTTGAAGCGTAGAGGTATATGAGAAATGAGAATCATAACAGTTGCAAACAGCTTCGATGGGCTATTCATAATGAAATACTTTCGGACTTTTCTGCAATTGAAACTGCCCATCAAACTCATGTTGGAGACTTCATTGAGTTTTTCAATTGATTTTTTTCTCAAATATGAAGATCTTTTGAGGTTAACGATGCATTAATAAATAAAGGTGAGGAATTTGTTTGTTCACTGTATGGAGAGGTTATGATGAATGTAAATGATACGTCTATGGATTATACCAGGGATGGCGAACCTTTCTCAATGAATGGGTCAAAAATTATAATTTTATCGCAGAACAGAAGAGAGTGGGTCACAGATATTTAATTCACGTTTGTATCTATAAGAAACTTCTGAAACAAATCTTATAAGCTGGTGTTGGTGTAGTTTTGGACTTTACTTATGCAGCATTTCTATCAGGGACTTTTCATGGCACTCGGTTTTATGATATTAGAGTACGAAAACACGCATATGAATTACCAAAAACGTTTAGGATGATGCGTTAAATTATTTTACGATTCTAGTGTTTGGAGGTAATTCCGCTTTGATAGCGTTATAATTTTCGATCAGCTTCCAACCACATTGAACCACTTTTACACTGCCCCATTGTTATATCAGATTTCTAGATTTTTATTTCAAGTCTGAAAGTTTTTTTTTCACAACGGCATTGTAGATGAGAAACTAATAAAATGCAAAGTAGCATCTAGTTCTCGTATAACCCCTAAAACGGTCTGCAGATGCACTTCCAAAAAAGACAAGCGTTGCGAGAAATGAACAGATCAATTGCATTGTTATGTCATAAACGATGTCAGGCCCAATAGCTGAATAACGGTACACAGCGGTGCATACATGCGTACAAGATTAGGGGTTTTGAAAATGACCATACCGGCCCGAAATCAACATTTTGAACATGAGCGATCGCAGCCCTCCCTGACTGTCCAACTGACGGTACATTATAATAGTTTAGCTATTGTTAGATTAATTTAAGGCCGGTTTTATCAATTTTTATCACTGATATGTTAGCATTTTTTTTTATTTTATTCGTGCCTTCGCTTGGCGGGTCACAAATAAAACGCGGTGGGTCACTTTGTGACCCGCGGGTCAGTGGTTCGCCATCCCTGGATTATACTATGGACAAACATATGAATTATACTCTCCACCCAACAATGATTTACTGAGGAAGCATATGGGGCAAGAAACAAGCAAGCTGGTGGCAAATTACCAGGCAGGGCTTCATCATTGTTGCCTAGAACCGAGGCCAATTATTCTCCCACCTATCGGCCATAGATGTGTTCTTGATAAGGGTGTTTTGCGGGTTAAATTGATGGATGTACTTCCAGCCCAAATCAGTTCTTGAGTTGGCAAACTGCAAGGGTAAGAAAAATAGTCAATATAATTTATGCACGTGTGCCAAAGTCAACCTAAATTGCACAGATTTTTGTTTTTATATTGACTGCAAAAACCACAGTACACTTATAGAGGAAAGTCGATTTTCGAGATAGTGGAATTTGGAAACAATTCAGAGGAAAGTGAATTGGATATTGGAGTTGATTTACAAAAAATATATTTATTTAGGCTTAGTGTCGTAGTCGTGATTCTAGAAATAATATTGCCTTTGTTCAAATACATAACTACATAAACTAAAAACAGACTAATTGTAATATTTCTGTTCACGATG